CCCAAAGTCCAGAGCTCGGCCCTTGACAGTGAGAGTCCATAAAACACCCAGATAATGAGGAGGATCAGAGACGTAAACACCAATGTGATAAACAAGTCTGTAGACATGGCGTCTCACTATGTGAGTCTGACAGGAATCTAGTCCCTTCCTATCCCCAGGGCTTCCCTCTACAATGAGGAACCTCCTTAATGCCTAAGAAGACTCTAAGAGAATGACTTAAATTCGCTTCCTTTTTTTGACCCTAAGTCATGCCATACCTTCAACAGAGGACCGGAGGAAACATCTTTTCCATAGAAATCCTGGCAACCCTCAGAGCCTCAGAGGCCCTTTGTAGGAAGCCTGGGCCCTATCCCCTTGCCCCAGAGTGAGGTCCACACAGAGCCCCTCCTACCCTGTCCCTGGGCCCCGCGCGCCCCTGTGCTCCCTGACAGCCCTGAGCTTCCTGTAGCTGCTGCTCCTGCCTCCTGTCAAAGGGCCTCGATGATGCATAATTTATTCCACATGTTTGTTCCTAGCGCCTGCCAGAGGCATCTGTCCTAATGTTTCGATGCTTTAACGTTAGATGAGTTTTCTTTTGAAATGATCATCCCCAGGGTGGTTCACCAAAGAGTAAATTAACACCCATACACCCACAGGCCTTCTCCTGACACATGTTCTAGCTTCAGTGCTCCCCATAAAACATGCATGAACTGGAGCGTCGCAGGCAGCGCCCCCGAGTGGGTGGGACAGGTGCCTGCATCCACCCAGGGAAACACCGAGTGGCAACAATTCCGGGGGAGACGCCTAGGACCAGTTCAAGAGCATGTTGCTTTAAAGTCCTTTGAGTGATGTGTTTCCTAGGAGAAGATTCTTTGAAGACTCACGCTGGATTTGTCCGAGTTGCCACACACTCCTTGCTCCCCAACCTAGCAGCTGTTTTCCCTCTTCTTTGACACACTTCTGTCACTGCCACAACACACTCGCACACACACAGGCATTCACACACCAGGTCAGCAGTCAGCATTCCCGTGCTGTTTGCCAACATTTTATTTCTATCCCCCAAGAGTCTATCAACTCCCCCAAGCAAGGACCCAACTTAAGTGCTCTGTGGCTCACAGGTCCTAAAGCCAGGAAGGCATGTAAGCTGGGCATTGTGCCTCTCCCTTGCCACACACCGTCAGAGCTACCTGCTGCTCCTTCCTCTGCTAGCAGCTGAGGGTACTGAGCCCTGAAAACTCTATGGCCCAGAACAACTCATCAACCGACGTGAGATATAATAACGGTTTTCAAGACTTCAATGGAGGCACACAGTGAGTATTCCATAAATCTTGCTTATGACTTTATCATTTTTACCATATTGTCTATGCCCACACCTTGAAAGTAGATATAAGGAGGGCCAAACACCACCATCTATGCTAAACATTCTTCCCCTTGTAGGGGCTGAAGACTGATGTCACACCACTCACGCACAAAAAGGAAAATCGCCGATGCTCAGAACTGCAAGGGCTCTATCCGTGACCCTCCCACATGATGCCGAGGCCGAGGAGATCAGCACCAGTACAGGTGCCATGAGCTGGCCAGCCTCTGGGCCTTGCTGCGCTGTTCCTCTAGAGGGTGGACTTGTGCTGGCCCTCATCTCAGTGTGTTCCAGGTAACATCAGTGTTGTGTTGACATGACGCACACTGCTGTCAGGGAAACCTCATGGCAAGAGTTCACAAGGAACAGGACACAGGTAACATCACATTTCATGGTGAAAGACAAACTTTTTTCTCCTAAGTTCAAGAACAAGTTAAGGAAGTATGTTCTCATCCCTTCTAGTCAATGCTGTAAGGGGATTCTGGTCAGGGCAGTTAGGCAAAAGGAAACAAAGAAAATGCACTCAGAATGCGAAGGCACAAGTAAAATGTATATAATAACATATGTCACGATCTTGAAAGTAAAAACCTCTAAAAATCCACTAAAATTAATAGAACTAATGAGGGAATTCAACAAAGCTTAGGCTACATGCCAAAATTAGTCGTATCGAAGATGAAATATTCAATTGTATCCCTATCTATCAGTAATAAACCAACATGAAATTAAGAAAACAATTATAAATGAGTAGCATCAAAAAGAATGAAATAATTATAAACAAATTTAACAAAAGATGCATACAGTTTGCACTCTGAAAAAAAATAAAATACTGTGGAAAACAATGAAGATCTAAATAAATGAAAAAATAGACTCTGGTCCGGTATTAGAAAGCTTTATCTTGTTAAAACGGCAATGTTTCTCTAAGAAATCTACAGATTTTCTAAACCTTAGCTTTTTTGTTTTGCAGAAAATATACAAAACCTTGTCCACAATCTTCACAGCAGCATAATCTATGACAGCCAAGAGGCAGAAACCATCCGAATGTCCATTAACTGAAAAATGTATAAATCAAATGAGGTATATCCAAAACCATGGAACATAATGTGGCAGTAATAAAGAATGATTTAATATAGCCATAACAGATAAATTGCAAAAACATTTTGCTCAACGAAAGGAGCTAATGACCACAATTTCCATAATTGCAATTACATAGTCTATAGTAGTCTAGTATATTCTACAGAGATCAAAAGTAGATTAGTTGTTTCCCACGGCTTGGTGACTATTAGTTCAGAATTTGTTTGGGGGCGATAAAAATATGTTAAACTTAGATTTAAAGAGAGAATGACTGCAAAATTTGTGACTAAATTAAAAAACCATTGAGTTGTCGACTTTAAGTGGTTATGGATTGAGACAAAGATTCCCAAGAAGCTACTTAAAAAAGAACTGATGTCCTTTAAATTAAAAAATAAAAAGGCAATGGACCTTGAAGAGCAGGCAGAGTTGGGTTTGATTAGCCACTTCCCCACAACTAGCTCTGTGGTTGGTCATCCCAAGTTTTTGTACCTCTCTAGGCCTCAATTAATAGTAACTTTTAATCACTGGAAAGAAAAATAAACTTTTAATCAACCAAAAGAAAAATATGAAGTGGAGAGAAGCAGGATTACAATACTGATAGAACCAAAGTGATCCTCTAATAAGATGAAAGCTGCACACCCAAGATCAACTGGACTCAGATCCAAATTCCCATCTGGTCCCCACAAGAAGCATTGTTTCAACATCCCACATGTGATTCTGCCCCCAGCACCATGCCAGGCGGAGGGTATTGCCCTCAACACTTCCCAAAGTCAAGAGCAGCAGCCCTTCCAGCACCAGGCACGCCTCCCTTCATTCTCCCACCTAAGGCTAGATTTACAGCAAGACCAGAAGCATTTACAACATTAACAGAAATGAGGGAACATAGAAGGGTGCCAAGAATCAAACTCCAGGCCATTCACATCTTATACTGCTCTATTAGGAAGGTCATCTCCCTTCTTCAGCACTGTCCATCAGGCATCAAATGCTTTGAGCTTTGCATTCTCAACAGTGTAATGAAAATAGATGTTGAATGCTAAAACACAAACATATGTATCATTCATAATGCATTCAGATGTTTTTCAATTATTCATGGTTCCTGAAAGTTATTTGACCTATCATGCACATATATCCAAACAATGTTTATATTAGAACCACAGCCTCAATGTACGCAATTCCAGCTCCTTGGCATTCCCGTCTATGGAATTAAAATTAAATGAGTCAGTGGTCAATAAAAGTTACATGTGATTTCCATAAAATTATCCATTGTATATTGCTCTGGGGTGGAGAAAGAAGGTTGCATGGAGTTGGCAAAGCTGACAGAACACAGAATGATTGCTTTCTGATGAGGGTGGTGGTGATGATTAGCCTTTCCTAGGAATGAATTCATTATTTCCTTGAATAACTGGTGGTCTTCAAGTTACTTTTCGTCTAGGAAAAAATAACTCAGAGGGCCACCCTCTTTCTCTTCTAAGTCCTGTTTTCTTTAAAAAAAAAAAAAAAAAAGGCCAGTATTCTGAGCTCAAAAACACCACATTCTTCTGTTTTGGTGCTTGAATAAATTTGCATGTTAACACAAATGGTTCCAACTTAAAGAATGTAAAATTAAACGAAACTTGAATTTAAATCTAAGATGGAGAAAAGACACATGTAAAAACAACAGATTTTCAATCTTGTTGATTTTTTTCAAGAACCAGATTAGGAAAGACATAAACATACACTTGGTTTCAAAGAAGGGGGGCATTGAGAGAAGACGGGCACTGCCAAAGAGGTGCCCCCCCACCTCACACACTCTATGAGTATTTGCAGATCACAGCCCAGATTCTGAATGCACTGTAAAACTCAGAGATGTGACTCAGAAGACATGATCACTGTCATGTTCCAACTCTTGGAGGCCCACCCAGAGAAAATGGAATATCAGGAGCACCGCATGAGTAGTTCAAGCAAAGACAGGCTTGAGTTTGCCCTGCCAGCTCCAAAAGCTTTATCTTCACGTTCCCCACTGACCTTGAAGGAGTCTCCCAACGTGGTGAGGAGACAGTGTGAGCTGGACCTGGTCGGAATCCCAGCTCCTCCCACGGTTTACAGGCTGTGTGACCGAAGGCACACCATAATCTGTGAATATAACTTTTTATAATTGTTGTCATTTGCCTAACAACTATAACCATTACACAAGTTTATGGTGAGAAGAAGGTTATACACCTAGAAGAACGTGCTCCAGTGCAGCCCAGAGCAGGTCTTCAATAAGGCTGAGCTGCCACAGGACGGGTTGGTAAGTTGCTGCTTAGGTTGAGGGCATGGAGTCCAGAGAAACCAGACAGGAATTGTTTCTTTCTTCTCCCACCTTCTCTCCCACTTTGTCTCAGGAAGGAGAACAAATCAAGCAAAAAGCCTGGTACCCATGAACGCTGACTGCAGGACAAGGAGACAAGTGTTGCTCTCATCCCATCTTGTCCCACCCCATCCACCCCTTCTCATGACCCAGTCTTCATCCATGAGGGTGTTGCAGGTGAGATGACAGCAAGATCTCAAGACATAAAGAGGATAGTGAGCTATGAGCCCCAGCATCTTACCTCTTCCTCATTCTCAGCAGCACTGGCTCCCAATTTCTGGACAACTGACTTGTCACTCTCTTTCAGCAATTTCTCTCGAACTTTGGTTTCATATTCAGGCCGGGAATGTTCCTAAAACCCAAAGAGTCAAGGAGTGATTAGTAAACAGGTGGAAGAATGACCCTGCCTGTGTGCATTATCTGGCCTGTGTGCATTATACCCAGATACACGAGTACACTACAGTCAGGACTTAGGATCAGCAGCTACTCACATGAACCATCACACCACACACAATCACAGGAGTCTAGACCAATAACACAATGTGGGGGTGGGGGTGGGGGGGCAGAGAGCGAGGATACACAACACTGGTTACCACATGGAAAGCCAAACCTGGGCACGTTCCTGGGGATGGCGCCGGTGTTGAGAAAGCAGAAAGGAAATGTTAACTGGGAGGCTGAGACAAAGAGAAGCCATGTGCTTTGCACAGCAGTTTAACCAAAGGCCAACGGAGACATCTGGTCACCCCACCAACTATCTTCATATCTCAAACTTCAAGTTTCAGCAAGCTGAATCCCAGCTGGAGAAACAGATGCACCCCACAGCTGGGGGTTAAGGCAACGACAAACTTCTTCCCTGCTCCATGAGTTTGTGAGTTAAAATGGCGACCAATAAACATCAAAGTTAAAGGTGGCCATAGGGAATCTTAAAACTCACTTGCCTGGACCTGCTTCCTGTACAGCCTCAGTGAGTAACTCATTGGCAAGCACAATGCTCGAGAGACATCATGGGCCATTCAGAGATACAGACCTGAAGAGTGAGTCACAGTTATGTGAAGTTCACATAGCTAATCAAGTAGACCATGGTCAAAGCAATGCAGCTGTTGGGCAGGAAGACGCATGACTTACTTCAAAGAGAACTCAGGGGTGTACACCTGGCCTCATTGGCAGGACTTTCCCACAGCTTCCAAGGGCAAATAGCTACAGGTGTGAGGATTTCGTATTCTTGCATCATTTACTGATAACGCCCAGGCAGGGATTCAGCTCACAGTGGACTCCATGCGTTTCCTTATCGCTGCTCGTACATCAGAGATTCCAAAAGCCAACCAAAAGGTTCCCGACCCATCTTCCCCAAGACATGGCATGATGTTGGAGAGGAAAAGCTGTGCATGTGGCTAACAAGCACATGCAGTACTTCAGAGGAGGCGGGACTCCCCAACATGTTGAAGGCCCTCATGACCACCGATGGATGTCTCAGCCCATCCCTCCCAGTAGGCCATCCTGACTCTGTAATATACCAGATGGGGTCACCTCTCTCTCACTCCAGTCTTATACCTTCCACCACAGGTAGTTCTCAGTGACTCATTTTCCGGATATTATTTCCCAGCTGTTTTGCACATGAGTCTTTTTTTACCCTGTTACAAGGATCTGCTTGCCGATTTGCATTAGTTTGTGTTTTCTCCTAGCACCACATGTAATGCACAGAAATCTCTAAAGGCTTGCAGAGTCCTCACCTTCACCCATTCTCCAGCACAGGTGTGTACCAAGAGAGTGTTAGCCTAGAAAACATCCCAGGGTCTAAAAGATGAGAAAAAATCCGCGAATACCTTCTCACCTGGGAGTCAAAACATGCATGTGAAAAGCTCTGACAAGCTCTGCTGTGGAGACACTTGCTTTTCTTAAACCATTCACTTCCCATAAAACTCCTTTTGCTGCCAATAATTAACATCAAGCAAGAATATTGTGAAAAACATGGTCTGAAGTTTCCTCCATGGGTCTGACACTTGGGATTCTTTCTGTCTGTCTCCTCTACTTTATCCCAAAGGAAGGCTGTGGTTTTAAAAAAGAAAAGAGAGAGCTGGGTAGCTGGAGTCTTTCTAGAGAAAACCACAATGCAGGTTTGAGTCCTCCAGGCCCTGCACAAGCTGAGGAGCCTGCAACTGGCCTGTGACATGTCAAGGAGGCGCAGGGCATCCTCACACCCTCTCTCTGTGTCTGTGCCCCACCTCACTCTACACCAGGCCCTACTCAGACTCCCTCATCTGTTGAGAACAAGCTTTCTTGGCACATAGACAGGAGTCCGAGACGCTCAAGACAGAGCCTCAGGCTCCTCTACGTTCCGGCTGAAGCAGCTCAGACAAGGATTGTGGCTATGCACAGTCAAGAGGGTCGGATGAGGTTCCAACATTCCTCAGAGGCAGGGAGCTAGACAAGTGAGTTCACGGCCAGAGCAGACAGTACACTCCAGGACGGTTGCTCCAACACACCCAGCCACGGGCAGGTCATCCCTGGCTGGGGAGCTGATGCCAAATCATCACAAATGCACAGCACCTCCCACCAAGACTGTGGGAACCGCTTCCCTCTGGTTGGGCCAGCTCAGGACCAGCCTTTGCTCATCTCAGGAGGTCAGTCCAGAGCCACGCTGAACACGTCTTCGGCAAGGAGCCGCGGAGCACCTGTGGCCCTGGGCCCTCCTCAGGGCTGAGGCTGCGGCGACCATACCTCCTCCATGGAGTTTATCTTGAGTGGAGGAAGGTGGGTACGTGGACACACAGACACAAAGCCAGCAGCTCGAGTAAGAGCACCAGAAGAATCGGCTCTGCTTCCGAAAGGGGCAGCGAGGAAGGCCAGTCTGAGGGGGTGATGTTTTGGTGGGGATGGAGAAGCCGAGATAGGCCAGGTAGAGACTGGAAGAGGAACAGCCAGGGCAAAGGCCAGAATGAGAACAGGAGAGGAAGACGCCGGAAGGTGCGAGCAGGCAGTAGGACGGCCTGACGGGAGGTCAGAAAGGGAGCAGAGAATCCGCTTCCTGTGCGGCTGAACACCACGAAGAGTAGCTAACATTGGGTATGACGGGCAAGGGGCCCAGGGATGCTAGGCGGTATCAGTGTTCAGCTCTGGCCCGCTCTCAGAGGAGCCAGGGTGCAGCGGCCTGATGTGATGGCAGCTAATCAAGCAACCGAGGCCCACGGAGTTGAAATTATCCCACTTCAGAGACTCGATTGCTGGACCTGCCTGCAGCAAGCACAGATGAGCTGGTTCCACGAGGGGTCCCATAGGCCGGGGTTCATGGCCCAGGGTGGGGCAGGGGCTGACTCTGGGCTGTGGTGGTTCACCTCCCTCCCTGACCTGATAAGAAGGCAATCTCCCGTCTCTAAAACCTGGACTTGAGACACTTGTTCTGCCTGGAGTAGCAGATGTTGGGGGCCCCTGGGTGGGACAGACAGAGGGGATGGGTTTGGTCCCGTGTGAGTCAGCACCTTCCTTCCCCGAGGAGTACAACACACTGGCCTTAGGGCCTTCAGGGCCAGACAGCTGCAGGGAGGGCTCCTGATAATGAAATACAAGGATTGTTATCACAGCTTACAAGGCTCCTGCCCCCCACTCCGCCACTCCAAAACCCACTTGCCATCCTTTTGCCTCTCACTGAGTGTGGGTTGAACCTGCCCGGGACGCTTCGCACAGGTCCTAGCACACGCAGACGATCACAAGTGCCCTCTTGATCCACCCTCTGTGCTTCGTCGCCTCCTGGTGACACAGACCAGCAAGCAGAGCCTGCAACATGGCCACCACCGGTATCTGTGGCCGTCTCCCCTGCATCCAGCCTCTGTCCCGGCTACCCCACTTTCCAGACACATCGCTGCGTCCGAGCCACAGCCCAGCTGCCCTGACCGAGGCTTCTGCTCACTGTGTCTTCCCTGCAAGGGCCTTTTGCCCTTTGCTTCTCATGAAACTCCAACCCGTCTTTAAAATGCTAACAAAAAAAAAAAGAATTGTACTCACACACTCACCATTGTATCTGAAATATTCAGAGGCCCTTCAGCATCCTTGCTGAGCATAACTCTGGGCATGAGCGGCTGTCATGCCCGACAGTTCCAGCCCTCATACCAAAACCTAGCACACAGTAGGTGCTTAATGCATGTGTGCAGACTGAACTGAATGCTAAGTGTGTTGGGGCTTCTCGTCCAACACAGAAACACAGAAGACCAGGTTGCCTCCCTGCCTCCTGCTGACACCTGGCCCTGAATTTGCACGCACCGAGCTCCCAACTGTTCTGTGGGAACACTGGCCTCACAGGAGCCTCGCTCAGGGAGCCCATCTGGAAAGGCCCCATGTGCCCTGAAGAAGCCTGGCCTCGGCCAGGCCATTCCCAGCCTCAAGCCAGGCTCCTCCTGTGAAGCAGCCAAGGCACTGCGGGTCAGGCAGGAAAGGTGGCCACAGGAGAAATGGACTGTGAGCCCCTGAGCCAGGGCCTGTGCCTGAGATTCAAGGGCCGGGTCATAGCCGATGCCTTTCTGTGAGCGTTTACCCTCGCTCGCACAGAGACTGCCTGGCATCCCCTGCCCTACTCAGTGCCCACATTGAGCTGGTCTCCACACAGAGACCAGTACTAGCCCCGCAGAGGCTTAGAGGCTGAGAGGCCTCTTCTTCTCTTCTTTGGAGACATCCTGGGCCCTGAATTAGGGGGCTGTACCCCAACACCTCCAAATCCAGCCCGAGCCTCCCCTCTCTTCCTCTCCCCTCTCCTCCTCCTCTCCTCACTCTCTCTTCCTCTCACTCATCTGAATCAAACGGGACCAAGTGGACAAAGACATCCCCATGAGGATACACCCACACAGTGCAACTTCTGCAACTCTCTACTGAAGCACTAGTTTGGGCCTTTTCCCTAAGAAATGCAATCGCCTTTATTATTCTCTGCCACTTATCTCCCTAACTAATTTGTATCCTCTCTGAAGGCAGAATCCATATGTACGTTCTCTCATTTACTACGGAATCCATGATGCTGTTAGTCTCGGGGCATATGCTTAATGCATAGACCCGGAATAGAACGGGCACATGTACTCAATACATGGTAATGGGAGCCCATCTGCTCAAAGGCAAGCTAAGAAGATCATTAAAGAGAAGAAATGGTGGCACAGCACAGACAGAGAGCGCTACACGGACCTACGATACGACGACTCTGGGGGCGTCACCTGCGTGGTCACAACCCACCAGGGTCACGATGCCAGAGGCCACAGGCCTGTAGAGAAGGCCTGCCCTCCGTGCAGCCACCAGCCTGCTGGGGTCAGAGTGGCGACGCGGACCTCTGAGTCCGTTCCCCAGCACCTCATCCACCGCGCCCACACCTCGATTTCAGCGTGGAGGAAGAAATGCGGGCGACCGTCCACAGTGCGCATCGTCAAGCAGCCAACATCGGGAGGCCCCAGCGCTCAAAGAGCGTGGAGGGAAGGCCAATAGGTTTTCATCCTTTAAACACTGCTGTCCAGAAAGCCAGGCTTGCGGAGAAGCGGCCCTTGTCCTGAGCTCATGCCTCGTTTCACACGCTGCGGGCCGGTTTACACCGTCTCATGGCCCGCTGGCTATTTCCTCTTCCAGAGGCCTCAGAGGCAACCAGCACTTAGCCCAGGCCTCTCCCTTGACCCGCACGAGGGCCCTGCAGTGTGGCCCGGCTCCGGGTCACACGAGGCAGCTCCCACTCTCAGCCCCCTGCTCACCAGTGCCAACGAGATGGGAGGGAGAGGCACGCTGAGCCCAGTATCCAGGCCACCACAACCGCTTGCCTCCAGCACCGTCTCTCTTCCTAGAGAGGGGTGCTGGCATATCTGGCCACCCACATATCTTACAGCCCAAGAGAGAAGGGATTTGAACTCTTGATTTTCGTGCATGTCATCCATGAAGCCAGAGATCAGCAGTGGCCGGCTGATGTGACAGCACATGTCAGGGGCCACCTCACTCAAGGCAAGGACCAGAGAAGCATGCAGGAGAACTCACTTCTTCCTCTTCTATACCCGTCAGGTCCCAGAAGTAACCCAGTCGCATCTGTAATCTCTTCCAGTTTTCAAGAAACATGGTAGCTTAAAAAGAAAGAAAATAGAAAGTTAAAGAAAAAAGAAAAGAATATTAATTTTGAAAAGTGGGTTTTGAACACTTTTTGGGTACCCAATGGAGGAAAAACTTCTAGATTTCAAACTTATGGTTTCTTTCTCTGCACAGCATTTAGTCCTTTCTCCCTACTTCTATTTGAAGCTGGTGGAAATCTTCCACGTCCTGGAGAGTCAGCAGGTATGTTTAAAAGGACACACACACACACATCCCTTTCCCTATGTCCCAGCTATGAAAATGGTAAACATGGCTCCAATAAATAAGGATGGATAGAGGATGAAGAAAATAAAAATGGAAGCATTTGTAACCTTTTTGACAAACCTCATTTTGCCTATCCCTCATTTTTCCTTCCTGGGCTTTCCTCAGCACTCTCACTGCCCCCCTCCTGCACCCCCACACTCTTTCTGGTCCTAGCACCACTCCACTCTTCTGGGCACTCATCACCTCCTAATGGTCCTACCTGACTCCAGCCCACCCTGATGTTGTGGAGAGCCCAACCGCCCTGAAGTGGCCTTCATTCACCCATCCTTACATCTGTCTGGCAAATGTTTGTTGACTGCCTACTAAACCTACACGCCAGTCAGTTTGCCTGCTTTGATGTGCTCCGCCAAGAACCAGTTCTCTCTACTCTGCAGTCATGGCTTCTTACACCAAGACTGGACACTAGAGCCGGAGCCTGCAGCCAGACCAGGAGATGCTATCTCTTGAAAACCAGAACCAAGAGACATAAAGAAAAGCAGAGATGGGAAAAACCACTCAGCATCTGAAAGGAGAAGGGGGTGTGGTTTATGAGGCAGCCCAGCTCCAGTTCCCCAGAGGCCTGGCCATCTTTCATTTCCTGCACCTGTGAGCTTGCTTCTTGCCTGCTTACAATAAACGTCTTGCTGTCTGAGCAAGCTGAAGTGAATTTCTAATCCTGCATGAAAACTAGGTCCAACTAGTGTACCTGCAATGGACAAAAGTGACCTGAGCATCCTGGGAAGAGGTGGTGACTTGGAGGCAGATTCTGCTCTCAGGTAGTTTACCATCTATGGGGAGAGACTGTAAACAACAATAAGACTGGGGATCTAACAATCAGGGCCCTAAGAAAGACCCAGATGAAAAGCTGTGGGCATGCAGAAGAGGAAGAGTTCTCTGCCAGGGAGGCCCCAGAGCTGTGTCTTGCACAGCAAGGTCTGGGCAATGAATGGGCTGGGGAGAGGAAAAAGGTGAACCCCCCAACCCCGCTGGAACTTGCAATGGTTCCAATGGTTTAAGTTCTTCACTGAAGTCCTCACTGGACTCCTGACTGCCGTTTAAGTCTGGTGGTGTCACAACAGACCTGGGTTGCCTCGGTTTACCTGGGGCACAGCACAGGGCTGAGCCTAATGAACACAAGGACCAGCTGAACGAGCAGTTTCTTCAAGCTACATAGCTACGTTCGTTTTTACTGGGCACTGCATCACAGCGCCTTCATCCGTTGGCTTCTCTCCCTGGGCCTTGCCCCCCTGAGGGCATCCAGACCCCCTCCCAACACCAGCATTGGCCTGGAGAAGCAGGACGACCTCTTCTACCCTCACTCTTCAGGGCCTGAGGAAGACTGCGCAGAGCGAGATTCACTGAAGAGGAGCCACGAGGGCAGGGGAGGAACATCACAACAAAGAGCAACAGAGCGCTGCAGGTGCTCACGCCGCAGGGGCACGGGAAGACCCAGCCTCGCCGCTGGACAGAGGCGCACGACCGGGACAGGGACAGGTGAGGAGCACGGACTCTAGCCGCAGCACCATCACACGACTGGCGGTGGTCACAGCTGGGAGGGACAGGACTGACCCCCACTCAGGCTGCCTGATTCCCGAGCTGGGGTACTTAACCTCTATTCGAAAGCTGTCCTTTGGCTTCCTGCATCCAAACAGCATCATTTTCTTTCTAAAGTTCCCCAGAGTCTGAACCCAGAATGGCTGAGGCGGGTGGGTCTGAAGGTGCCAAGAAGCCCCAGTCCTGCTGTCTTGTACCCTCCTTGCACACTTTCAACCCCTAGCATCCCCCTGGCTTGGCACCTCCCCCCGACCCCCACTGCCAGGGTCTGCCAACAACCTGCCTGTCTCCCTGCAGGCATATTCCCGGCAGGCCCAGGCCCACCCAGCACAGCACCACCAGTCATAATCATCATGGTAATGAGAGGCTTTACTATCATCTTTTAATTGTAATTTGTAGGCAATCATGGCCAGGGGCTCTTGGCTACTGTAACCAAATTTATAATCACAAAAAGCACAGCAAGACTGTTAAAGAAAAAAAAAAAAACAACCCTGCCCTATGCCAGGAAGCTCTGACACACTCCCACCTTTTGCGCTCTCCCTCCTGCTCTGTGAGAGGAAGAGAGAGGAGCCAGAGGCAAGACATTACTGACATCAGGAGGGGTGGGGGAGGTGTTTGTTCATTAGTGCTACCAGGAGAGAGGGGAGACAGTTGTTGGGGCTTGAAAGAGGGAAAGTACAATTGAAAACCAAGATTCTCTGCAACAAGAAATCACGCATCCCAGGATTCTTAAGGGATCCTGGCCCCAGGGTTATTAAGCTTCAACTCGTCGATCATGGTAATGGCTGCAGGACCAATTAATGGGAATTAGGGTTGCAATATATCAACACTTGAATGCATATTCCAGGCTCCGTATCTGTTCAAATGGATGTTGCTGTAATTACTGAATGTTCCTGCATGACAAGGAACAGAACTGCCTCTGACTTCCAGGCAGTCAGCCTCGACTTCAGTCTTCCCTCCTGCCCCTGCCTGGGGACAGCTCCAGAGCCTCCTGATTACAGGTGCCGTTTTCCCTGCCCCCGTCCCTACTTCTGAGGGCTGACCACTGCCTGTGTGTCCCTGAGAACAAAGTGTCCCCTGAAAGCTGCTGCTGGTGGGCTCACAGTCAGGGGGTTATTCCAGTCTAGCTCTTTCTCTACCCAAACAGAGGTCCCAGCGGGCTGGGAGCAGGCTGTGTTCAGTTCTCCCCATGCTGTAAAGAGGAACCTCTCCTCTCTGCCCACACTTGCAGGGGTGTGACTCACACCCATCCTGGCATGTCCTCCAGGCCCTGTGGAGTCGGGGGTAAATCAAGCAGCCTCCACAGCGGACGGTGCATGTGATCCAGGGGCAGAGGGAGGGCCTGCACATCCGCTGAGGGGTAAGAGCAGGTGGCCACTCCAGACAGACCGCACCACGTGGCTCGTCCCTTCTTTATGCACGTGGGTGTGTCTTCTTGGAAGAGTTCGGTTCCCATGGGGTTGTTATTCCAGGACGCCCTGGTCTGTGAGAGAATAAAACTGTGTGTGTGCTTGCACATGTGTGCGTATGTGTGTGCGTGTGTGGTCAGGTAGCTGTATCTCAGAGGCCATGTTTACCCTAATTCTCACAGGCAAGGGAGAAGGAAGAAAATGAAGAAGCTATTTGTTCTTTCCTTTACAAAACGCTTTGGGGAGATTATTGAAGTTATCCATTGTGTTACCTGAAATCTTTAGTCTTAATATTTTAGTGTGCTAGAAATAGCATTGAACCTGGACTCTGGAGACCCTTTTCCACCAGCTGACGCTGTGACCTTGGCTACTGTGACTGCACGCTGGATGACAGCTAAGATTTGACGTGACTCAGCAGGGTACTAGGAAGTGCCTTATGGGTATAGTGAGGGCTTTCAAGACATATGTAGAGTCAAGTTCTGAATAAATCATACGTGAGGCAAATACAAGGTTAACCTTACTGTACCTATTTTCTAAAAATGAAGGATATTCCCAGTTCTGTTTACACATCTGAGAGGAACTGTCCGTAAAACTCTTCTTGAAATATAAAGGCGGGGCCCTCCCTGGTGGCGCAGCGGGTTAAAGCACAGCACTGAGAATCTAAAGCCGCTTCCGCATGAGTTCGATTCCCGCATGCCCCGGAGGTGGCCACGTGGCGTGGCAGACCTCTCCTGACCCGCCCGCTGCTCCCCTCAGCAGTGTGCTTCGTCGATCTGCCTGTTCTGCTCCCCACTCTGTCTCTGGCCTGTACTCCAGTTCTGTGTGCACAAATAAATAAATCTTTAAAAAAAAAAAAAGAAATATAAAGGCGACTAAAGGAAGCAATCCTTCAGTGCTTAGTCATAATACCTTGTTAAATGTGCTTCCCGTGCATAGTGGCACCAACTTACCCCACAGAGCCATGAAGATGGAAAAGAACACCGTTGCAGGGTTGTCAAACAGGTGGCTGGCCCGCGCTGTCCCGCAGGCTGAGCTGAGGTTCCAGTAATCACAGGACTTATCGCACAGTGGACACATGGTGAAGGCATTCTGCTGGTCACACATCTCTTTGCTGTGGACAGAGGCCACCAGGTCACGCAGAGCTCAAGCAGGACCCCACCCAAGCAAACCAACCCCAAATATCTCCCACTTCCAAAATCCATGGCTGACTCATCCCCTCCATGAGAAAAGGGTGTTACAGAAGCTAAGCTTGGATTTTTCACCATGAAAGTGTTATTCTTTCATTTTGTCCCCCCAAAAGATGGGCCACCTTCTGAAATATGGAGCTCTCTGACATTCAAAGTGTCCCAACAGAAAGTTAGTGGCCAAAGTGTCAAGAGATGATGTGGTACATTGAAGATGCCCTAAAAAGTCCCTTCAAAATGTGCTGAGCCTATGAGGTCAGTGAAAGGTCAACAGCTGGGAATAAATCTATCTGATTTCATACTCATGAAATAATAACTTGATAACAAATAAGTCTGAAGTTAGATTTCAGAATCCATTCTTCAAACAGAGGTGGCCTTCTTAAGCTGTACAGCATCAGTTGTAGGGCGTAAGTTAATAAATCAACCAAATAAGAATGATCATAACCTTAAAGTGGACTAAGGGGAAGGTAAAGTTTTCCAAGGTCTAGATTCTTGGAGATAGACGCATGAGTCAAATAACCGCCATACACATTCTAACTTACTCTCACTGTTCCTACTTAATAGGCTGGTGAACACATCTGAAATTCCACTCAAGTGATTATCTGGATCCAACAGATCTTGGCTACAGTGCTTTTTCAAATAAGAAGCAAAGAGCCAAAGACCTAACAGACTTCTCTAATGTCCCCCACCACACCATATACTGTTAGGAAAATGAGCGAATGTATCGCTTTGACAGGTAATACTCCCTTTGGGGAATAACAAGTAGATAGTTAAGCTCATGACTTGGGGGAGCGGGTGAAGATGGCAAAACTTCATGAAAATGGACACTGGCTGTTCTTACAGTGGGGAGATGGGGATCCTGCACTGGAAGCCACAGTGACTCTTCTCCTGAACGCAACAGCAGAGGGCGCTACAGAGCGTGGTTGACAAGCAGTGGCCAGGCCAGGGCAGGGTGAGGAAGCTGGTCCCTGTGGGCTGAAGCAAGTGCTTCATGGAAAGCCAGGAAGACAAAGGACGCCTGGGTGGCGTTCCCGTACATGAAGAAAGTGAAGGGTCTGTGGAGGGCTGTCACTGTCCCTCAGGCACCAGCTCTCAGGCTTGTTTTTAATGAGCTATTTATTAAGTGCACGGCTAGGAAAGGCCTTCTGTGTGAGAAAATGGAAACTTGGAGTCTCTGAGGGCAGATCCTGGCTCCTCCACTGACTGGCTGCCGAGCGTCCATTGGCAGTGGCCACAGCCATGACTCATTCACATGGGCAATATTGAATAGCAATATCTTAGGAAGTTCAGCTGTGCTAGCTTCACTTGGGCACATTGTTATGGGTAACTGGAGGGAGCAAGGTTGATTTGAAATCTTCCGGGTCAGGCACACAGTCGCTTTGCCCTGGAGGAATAGCTACTTTGGAGAAGAGAGGACCCTCTCAGCAAACAGAGCCACACAGAAAGTTGCTGGCCGGGATGAAAGCTAATGGAGGGTTTGCTTCTGAGTCACGTCTGAGGACACAGGAGTCCTCAGCACAGGCCCTTCACAGGTCTGTGGGAGGGACATCACTTTGTGGTTGGGATATTTTTATGCGGAGATGGTATATAGCGTGCGTGCATAGATAACCCTGATAATCCTGAACCTGGGGAAATCTGGTCAGTGTTAAGAGGTCAACAATGACAAAAGTGTGAGCAACCAGCTCAGTGCAAAGCGCTCTGAGACAGAAGTGCTGCGTTAATGATTGGTTTTAAAATTAGAATAGTCAACTATCAATCATCTGTACAAAATGGTGGCCATTTTGGATATTCCCCAAATCATTTAAATTGGATACTCCCCAAATCATTTAAATTGGAAATCAGAATGCTTTATATGTATTGGAGGGTTTTTTGGTTCGTTTTTATGTAAACAATCTTAACAGAATCTGGAGAAAGTCAGCTTCGGGATGTCATTAAAATGACGATGCATTCCCTGAGCGAGGCTGCTCCAGACAGACTGAATGAGGGGCGAGTTTGCCTAGAAGTGAAAGAGTCTCAGTCAGTCACTGGTGTTTGATGCACGGATTTCCACTGTGGTCAGGGACCTAATGGGGACTGCCCCCATCTATCGTTTTCTCTAGAAAGCATTATTAGTTTGGTAAATGGCCTGGCAATTTGTTTAACCAAGACCTTGTTCCCCGCTCATCAGTTAAATGACATGGGGCAGTCTCAGCTCACAGGGACAGGAGCAGTGACACATCACCTACAGCAGGCCTCAGATCTGTTGATCTGACATAAGCAACTTTTTTCAATCTGGTTTGAACCTGAGCTTTTTTTATGAAAACTCCAGTCGCTCCTACCAATGTAAGCAAATGCCTGAAAAAACGAAGCCAATTCCTTGGGAAGTAGAGTTCTACATCAGGCTGTGGGAATCAGGACTTTGAAATGATACTTTTGATCTCACATATCAGAGACTGGTGATCAAGGTACCAAAATCCCAGTAAAAGTAAACACTCTGGTTTTGCTCCTGAACTGTAGGGTCAGGATACAGTTACAATCGCTGGGGGGACTAAGTGAGGGATTCACTGGGCCCTTGCATTAGGCTGCAACTTTCTGTGTATCTGTAATTTTCTCAAAATAGGAGGTTTTTGAAAAGACATACCCAGACTATACGTTTTGGGTTCAATGCCAAAGTTAGAAACCCCTGAAATAATTCCAGGAACGGTGCAACTTTTTTCCCTACCTTTAGGAGTGGCTGGTGGAAACAGCCCCCAAAGGAACATGAATCTGTTTAAATTCAGTCCTAGGATGCTGTGACTATGCCTTTGTTAATGAGAAGAGGCATTCTATGAGATGTTTCCAGCCCCACAGAGCTTGAACTTTTGATGGATAGTATGATTTTGATGGACAATTATGAATAAAGTGCAGTTCTTTTTTAAAAATTCCTCATAATCTGCTTAATATTTTACTATCACTTACACCTTTCTGACTGGCCACAAACTACCCTGTGTCTGAAAAGCCAACGCCAAAATTTCAATTCCTTAGCAGTTATTCTGAAACTTTTTGACTAATTTACAATTTAAAAAAATTCCAGTATGCAAATAGAAACACACCATCTCCCACCAATACACTTAACATAACTGAAATAAAATCTCATGTAACAATACTTATACTTGCTTACTGTGATGGTGACTTGCATTACACTTCAAACTTCTCTAGCTAGCTCCATCCTACTTTATCTACCCTGCCTTAGAACTTTATTCCAGTTCATTTAAAAGATAACCCTTTAGGGGCCCTCCTCATGGTACAACAGGTTAAAGCGCAGCACTGTGAAACTAGCTGCAGCTGCTTCAGCTTCAATCCCCCGCCCGGGAGCTGACCCACATGGCACTGCAGACCTCTCCTGTCCCTCCCTCTACTCCCCTCAGCGGTGTACTTCGTTGGTTGGTCTGTTCTGCTCCCCACTCTGTCTCTGGTAAATCCTCTCATCGCCCTGCAACTCTGGCCTGCACCCCAGTTCTGTGTGCATAAATAATAAATCTCTTTTAAAAAAAGATAACTCTTTAGACTGAATCCATATTCAGCTTGTAAAACACTGCATCAGCTGACACTCAATGTGGCCGATAGTAATAAGAATGGTCACATCTCACAGGCACGTATACCTGCTTGTGTGTGAGTGTACATGCCATGTGCACAGACAAGTATCTCTGAAGCATGAGTAAACCACGGCCATCTCCAGCAAGGATCCTTGTCTCGTGTATTCCCATGTGGAGCAGGAGGACACGAGCTGTAAGTCACGCTGTGGGCTGGCACCCCACACTGCCCGGGCATGCTCTGTGCAAACTAACCTGAGCGCGAGCTCTCTAGGAATCACAGCTGGGCAAGGGGAACACAGGGCTGCTTTTCTTAGAATGCACTAGAAGGTCAGCTGAAGCTACTGGGCTGCCAAGAAGACACGGACCTCTGGGAGACCTCACAGCTTCTTGGGAAAAGCAAATATTGTGGAGCAGGTGTAATGGAATTCAGATTCAGGGCTAGTGATTACTAGAAGTGGGCAAATTTGTGTGACCTCACTTAGCCTCAATTTCTCCATCTCTCTTAGGTAATAATAATACCTGTCTTACAGCGTTTACAGCATTGATAGCTACAGGATCAAAAAAAACACAATCTAGTACAGCCAAACTGCCCAGCGCCATTCCCACATGAGCCAGACATTCGGTAGTTCATTGGGGTTCATCTCTCTCGTTGTAGGGAAGGCAGGACCCCAGCGACCTGTCTCCTGTGATCAAGTTCTTAGCACTCCCAGTCAGAAACATGGGGCGCAAGAGCCTGGAATGTCTTCACACATACCCAACCTCTTGTCCCTTCTGCCAAGTTATTTAGTTTTCTTTTATCTATTGACAGCACCACTGGCAGATTATCTAATTTGCATGAGCCTTGCTATGGTTTGATGTAGCGGCAAGAAGAGGCATCTGGTTCCTACCCACTCTCTCCTCAGAAGGGCACAGCACTTGGTCCTTTGTTCAAGGTGCCCATTCCGTCCCCCACTACTACCCCCAACTTTCGTGGACACCCATCATCTGCCCAGTGTCCCCATCCAGCTATCAAGCTAGTTCAAGTTGTATTTTCCATCATTTGCAATCGAAGTAGTATTAAATTCTATAAACTGCGCTTCAGCTTTGCAACAGCAAGAGATTTAAATTCTCAGTATTGATTAAGTGTTTCTTTTATCCCTTGTACTGTTTCCAAAGATGTTGATTCAATCAACAGTCATCTCTTAACACTCGGCCACATGGCAGGCACTGTCTCCTTCTACTTTGACGCCACCACAAGAAGTAGATGTTATCATCACCCTTTCACAGCCAAGGACACTGAGACACATGGAAAGAACAATACGGTCACAAAAGTGATATGGAATGCTGTCAGTCCTGAAGGGTGCAATTTTGAAGTATTTATTTTCTTTGCAGACACTCTCTCCTCCCATAAGCAAGAGCTCCCCCAGAGCCTGGCCGAGGACCGTGTCACCTCCTACAGTTCAACTTCCTGGGCCAGATGCTCAGCCTTCCTCAGCCCCCGCCCTGCCTGCTCCCTCAGACAGCCCACAGCGTTTTCTTCAACACTATCTGACGCTGTGGTCCCATCCAGGACCCAACATCACCTAACACTTCCTCTCTGGGAAAAGCAGAAGGAAAAAGTCATGATGCTAAGAAAAGCATTTCTCCGCCATGATTTTTTTTTTTTCATTAGTTTTCTCTCACCCTCTCACCTGGTCACATCAGACCTGGTCCTGGAGAAGCGCTTGCCCAGGAGGGGAGGGAAGCCATGCCCCGTATGACGCTGGGGCCATCCTCAGAAGCTGTGGCTTCCAGACCTATCTCTGAGGGAGGGGTGTGTGTGGTAAGGGAGGAGAATAGAAACTGAGGACTTTGGAAGGAGGCACTTGAAGCTGCTAATATACAGGAACTGAGTCTTACTTCTTCAAACCAATTTACCTGGGGATATCTTCTTCAATCGTTGCACATCCATAGAGAAACACAATCACCCCAATTACAGAAGATGGGATGAGGAAGTATGTATATAATCCCAGCCAGGCAAAATACAGTCCAATTTTTTCTCCAAAATACTTTCTGGAAAAGAAAGAAAACAAAACATGTGTTAAGAGCATCATATAATTTCTTTATTTCTTACTTGTTCTAACCCTAACAACCAGTCAGTGTAACTGGATGGAGTTTCTTGGGGCTGCAGGGCCCTCAGCACAAAGAACCAACAACTGTTCTTTACTCTAAGAAGTGACCTTTTATTGGAATCACACAGACACACCTGTCCAGCTGTTTATATGAAACTGAAAAGAAATTCAGCTCTAACAGCAAGATAAAAATATGCAATAAATTGTGGCAACTTTATCATACCAACATGAAGCACAGCAACATTTCACGAGAACCACAGTACCCAGCCAACAATAAATGCACCCTTTGGCAACTAGTTCATTTAAACAAAACACAGATATTATTTATTTGGGCATACATATATCAGTGTACACAAACCAATAGAGACGTACTCCTAGGAAAATGACGAGAAGAAACTCAATAAAATATTAGTAAGGCTTTCTTAAATTATTGGGATTAATTGGTTTTATTGTTTATTTTCTATCTTTCTGCATGTTTAAATTATCCCTGGTTAATAAACTACTTTTCTTTAAAAAGTGGTTTTTAAAAGGATATCTTTTTGATCCCCAGTTCATAAAGCTCTAAAAAGGGGATTTTCCTTTGATAATTACTGGTTATGGATTCCTGATGAGAACAATGCATGCGACTTAGAAGTGGTATTTTTCATTTCTCAAGAGCCTCTGACATAAAGCACAGAAGGGAAATAGGTCCATTCTTGGATGAAAGGATTGAAGTGCTAGGAGATCAGTGAATAAAATGTATTTACTCATTACCAAGAGCTCTCTCCTCCTCCATAGCCCCAGCACAGCTAGCAAATGAAGCTTCTTCTTTAACAGGACAAGCTGAGTAATCTGTGAAATCAAGGGTTTTCTTGAAACCATCAGAAGCAGAAACCAGGTTAACTGAGTACTGAAAAAGGAAAAATCACTCCAAGAAAAATAAAATGTGGCAAAGCATGAGAAGAAAAGGTAGCTACCAAACAAGTGAGTAAAATAGTGAGATAAAAGCATTAACATTGTTGGAAAGCTGAGTCTAGGGCTGCACGATGGACTGGAATGACTAGGAGCTGCAGATACAAGCGGAGTTTGCACTCATCCCTAAGAGCATCTCAAGAACCATCACCTGGCAGCCCTGAGAGCATAATGGGGGAGGTGAGAGACCAGGGACAGTTCCCTTAGTTGCACACGAGCACAAAAAGTCCATCCACCTCTCAAGACCACCTCTCACTCAGATCAAAAGTCTCAAGCTGGGCCCTCCCTGGTGATGCAATGTGTTGGGATGCAGCACTGCAAGCTGACTGGTAGCTGCTTCAGGGCGAGTTCGATCCCCGGCCAGGGAGGTGACCCACATGGCGTGGCAGACCTCTCCTGACCCGCCCGCTGCTCCTCTCCGCAGTGTACTTCATTGATCTGCCTGTTCTGCTCCCCACTCTGTCTCTGGTGAGTCCTCTCACTGCCCCTGAGCCCTTGGCCTGTACCCAGTTCTGTGTGCATAAATAAATAAATATTTAAAAAATAAAAATAACACACTGTCAAGAAAGTAGGAAATCAACAAAGCAAAAGTTAATCTAGTGTCAGAGTTCTCTGACCAGGACCTCAAGATAATTATAATGAATATGTCAAGGAGGAATCTAATGCAAAAACAAGTCAACATGATGCATGATAAAACTGGGAATTTCCACAGGGAGATAGAAACACAAAAATGTCAATGGTAATGCTAGAAACAAAGACAATAAATGATATTGGATATAAAAAAAATGTCTTTATTAGGGTAACTTAGCAGAAAACTAAACACAACTGAGGAAAATAAGTATTATTCAAGTTAAGACACAAACAGAAAAAAAAAGAATGAAGAAGAGAAAAATATAGCAATCAAGAGTTGTAGAACAACATCTAAGCGTCTATCATACATGCAATTGAAGTCCCAGAAGGATTATAAAAACAGAATAAAAAAAATTTGACTAGATTATGACTAAGAATTTTCCAAAATTAATGAAAAACAACCAAAGACAGATCCAAGAACTCCAAAGAATGCCAAAGATAATAAATACAAAAACAAAAATAAAATCCCATATATGTAGGTGTATCATAATCCAACTACCGAAACTTCTGAAAATCCTTAAGCCATTTTAGGAAATAAATAAGTGGTGGGGGGTGGGAAGTAGCAATGAGAAAAGGAGGATATTTTATACAAAGGAACAAAAGTAGGATTTATAGACAATTTCTTGGTAGAAACCATGCAGCCCAGAAGATAATAGAATGACAACCTGGAAGTGCAGAAAGGGGGAAAAAGTCAACCCAGAATAATAAATGCAAAGAAACTTGTATATTTTAAAAATTAAGACCAAACAAAGACTATTTCAGTAAGCAAAAATCTAAAGAATTTATTGTCAGTATTTTGCACTCTAAGAAATATTAAGGAAATTCTTTTGGCAAAAGAAGCATAAGCCCAGTTAAAGGCCTCAATCTACACAAAGTGGAGAGTATCAGAAATGGAGAAGATAAAGGCAAATATAAAAGATGTTTTTCTTATTTTTAAGCTCTTTAAAAGATAATCCCACATCTAAAGTATGCATTCTCAGTGATGCAAAATCTTTCCCAAAGATGTTGTGATAAAATTGTTTTTTTTAAAAGCCAAAGATGATTTAGTCATTAAGTGATTTTTAGCTTTCCAATCGGTCACATAACAGAAAGATATATCATATATCTGTGATATTAAAATTTTATGGGAGAAGAGAGAGAGAAAATGTCTGTGAAGGTGTCTTACAGAAGCAATAATGGAGAAAAGTTAGACAAACATTGGTCTAAGCAAAAATGTAGTGTGAGGTTTATAACACATGGAAATAAAACGTATGAGCATAATGCACAAAAAATAAGAGGGAATAAGATGAAGTATATTCCTACAAGGTTCTTACCCTATCTGTGAAGTCATATAATATTATTTGAAAGTAGAATGTGGTAAATCCTAGAGTAATCACTACATTTAAAAATGGGTATAACTACCCATTAGGCTAATACCGGGTCGATATAGAAGTAATAAGATACACTTATTTCAAAAGAAGGTAAGAAAAGAGGGAAAATGACAGAACAAATTGAAACAAATAATAAGCTGATAGAGTTAAAATACAAGTATATTGATGATCATACTAAATGTAAATGTACAAGAGATCCATATATGTAGATTATATATAAATAATCGAGTTATTTAAAATAAAAGTAAAGGAATATCTACCATATAAACATAAATCAAAAAAAAGAAGGAACAGAAAATAGCCTACTTCAGAACAAAGAACTTCCTTTACAAGGGCTAAAAAGGATCATGCAATAAGGATAAAGTGATGAATTCATTAAGAAGACCTAGTACTCCTAAATGTATACACAAAATGCATACATCAAAATCATATAATAAAAACTGATAGGGCTGAAAGGACAAATAAATCCTTCACTATAAATTCGAGAGCTCAATACTTCTATCTCACTAATTGAGAGTACAAGTAGCTATGTCAGAGGGAAAGGATATTCTGAATGAACTCTGCAGATACTGGTTTTGTGGACTCCACCACCTACTCAAATCACTGAAACTACAACTCCCCACAATACCAAAGGGAGAACTGCGAGGACCCAAGGTCAGAGCTAAGCAGGCATTCTGGGACTTTTGGGGATATATAGAGGAGCCATGTTGAGCTGAAGCTCTTGCTTTTATCTCCCTTGGCCTCGTGCTAGTGGCTGGTCACTTGGCTCTTGATGAGCTTTCAGTGTGCTATTGGGGTTCCAAGTCAGCAGAACTGGTAGGATACTCTAGTCAACTTGTCTCTCTCTCTTTCTATCTCCTTCCCTGGGTTGTTCTTTTTTCTTTCCCTTTTGTAAATAAACCCATTATTGACCCTTTTTGTGTATTCCTGCAGTATAGTTGAATCTTATGTGCGTAAGTGAGGACTCACAGACAGGCAACCCAGTTCACATTGGGTTGCCCTGTAACAGTTATAAAATCAGTAAGGGTATAAAAGACACTATCTACTTACTTAACCATCATGCATAGAGCATTCCAGAAGAAAACACATTCTTTTCAATAAACATTCGCCAAGCTATACCATATTCTGAGCCATAAAGCAAGTTTAACAAACTTAAAAGAATAGCATTATGTACCCTGACCACAACTAAATTAAACTGGAAATCAACAACAGAGAGGTGCCTGGGAAAAAAAAAAAAAGTCCCAAATACTCAGAAATTAAACAACATCCTTTTAAATAACCCATAGGTCAAAAGAAAAAAAAAAAATGAGATCATAAAGGAAGTTAGAAAATATTTTCAACCGAGTGAAAATAAAAATACAACATATCAAAATTGGTGAGATGCCATTTAAGAAAAACAGAAAGTTTACCACTCCATATTTTGACTATAAAAAGCAAGCTTTAAATCAATAACCTAAGCTTGCACTTTAACTAGGAAAAAATCAAATGTAATCCAAAGCAAGCAAAAGGAAGGAAATATTAAAGGGGACCGCAGCAAGCATGAATGAAACTCAAAACCCAAAAACAATCAAGTCAATGAAACCAAAAGCCAGTTGTTTGAAGGGATAAATAAAATTGATAAGTATTTAGTCAGGCTGATCAAGAAAATAGAAAGATGAGACACAAGTTATCAATAATAGGTATGAAAGAAGGACATGGCTACCGCCCTTACTTTCCACTGTAGCCACATGTGATGGTGTTAATTGTCTTTCCAAGGTGCCTCTTATCTTTTCTACCAATCATCTGGAAGAAGAGTCAAAAGGGAGCCAGCAGGAGTGACAAAGATGTGATAAGCACGAATTGCTTCATGCTTTCGTCTTGCTTGTCTTACTTAGCTTCGTTTTTAATCCTCCCATGTCTTCTCTACATGAGTAAAACGACGCTCCTTGGATGAGCACAGGGTGGCGGGGCTCGGGCACCGGTTTCTCATCATCTGACCTCTCAGGTCTAC